GAATGTACCAACCTACAGTCAGCTTTACTTGACCCCCAGAACACCGAAGCGTTGATCAAAAAAGAACTAGAGAACGGCTTCATACTGGGACCTTTCACTCATCCACCATTTTCCTGTTGGCTCACCAACCCCATGGGCATCACCATGGGTAAATTATCCAATAAACTAGGGCTCATTATCGATTTATCGGCTCCACATTCCTTGTCTACTCCGAGTATCAACTCATTAATCCCCTCTCCAGAGTTTTCAGTATTCTATGCCACAGTGGACAACGATATACATGCCATATTAAGAGCTGGGGTAGGTGCATGGCTAGGGAAAACAGACATCTCAAACCTTTACCTATACACCCGTTCCTATGGCACGTGCATGGCATTAAGTGGGGCGGGGCAATACTACTTGCCACACGACTGACTTTTGGAGCAAAAAGCAGTCCAAAATTATTTGACATGTTTGCAGACACACTAGGTTGGCTCTTTCTCAACATATGCGATTGTCCATCTGTGATCCACTTCCTTTACGACTTTCTCACAATAGAAGCCCCGCACAGTATTAACAAAACAAGGGCACTTTTTGCAACATTGGGGGTACCATTCTCCCAGGAGAATACAGTAGGGCCTACCACCAACTTGGTCTTCCTAGGTATCCAGCTAGATTCCATTACGCTACAAGCTAGCCTGCCTCGGGAGAAAGTTGTCAGAATAATACAATCAGTGGAGTCTTTTCTGGGGGGAAACAAGTGCACCAAAACTGAGCTGCAGTCTTTACTAAGTACATTAAACTTTGCGATGAGGATCATACCACAAGGCAGAGCATTTATCTCAAGGATCCTGAGTCTTCTCCCTCGACTGACCAGTGACATCAGCACCATAACACTAGATGAACACGCCATAGCCGACCTCTGCATGTGGCTCAGATTTCTGTCCAACTGAAATGGTAAAGTGAAGTTCATACCCCCCATTTCAGAACATTCTCCCACTATCTGGACAGACGCTGCAGCGCATTCTGGGTTTGCCGCTGTTGTGGAAATAAGGTCTACACATATTTCCTAGTTAAAGGAAAATGTCTATTTACTCATTTTACAATATATATATATATATCTCACATATAAAGCTAAGTACACATATTTCAATCAAGATGGCTGCTAGAAGCTTCTAACCCCTCCTTCCCCTCCCCTCCCTTTTTAAACATCGACTAACTACCTCGTGTAACAAGATGGCGCCGGAAAACCGTGGGAGACCCTCATGGTCCCGGTGACATCACCTGCAGTAGGCAGAGCATTAGAGCAACCACTTAACACCTAACCAATTATTGATGTAATATTCCATGTTATCTCTGACAATGCATATGATGTAATTTTGCTTTAAAAGGGACTTGCCGTCCCCTCTGAATAAACTTTCCTCAAGTTATTCAACAACCTAGAACCTGTGTCTGGTGTGAATTACTTCAGGGAGCGTGCACGCATTGTTTCATTGATTTGGCCAGGGGCAGATACACAAAGAAATAATCAATACTTTAATTGATTTTTCCACTTCAATTGGCGCCCAACGTGGGGCCCACCGGAGAGCCGGTTCGGAGGGCCGGAACCAACGGACCGGAGCGGACCTCCGGAAAGTGGGACAAGCGGAGCCTGATCACCTCCATAATACAGCCGTTGCCTGTGTTATTCTCCTGTTTTGTGCCGGTCTGTCTCCGAGTCCACTTCCGGCTTCCAGAAGGCTACTAGAGACAGGTAACTAACTCATCCGGTGCGCCCTTTTTAAGTGAACCTGTCGATTGTCTATCTGCCTCCTGTATTCATTTATGTGTGTGTGTTTATTATACCCTTAAGACATGTTTGCTTGACTGCCTAGCGGGCAGGGAACGCAGTTTATGTTTGCTTGACTGCCTAGCGGGCAGGGAACGCAGTTTATGTTTGCTTGACTGCCTAGCGGGCAGGGAACGCAGTTTATGTTTGCTTGACTGCCTAGCGGGCAGGGAACGCATTTTATATGTTTGCTTGACTGCCTAGCGGGCAGGGAACGCAGTTTATGTTTGCTTGACTGCCTAGCGGGCAGGGAACGCATTTTATATTTGCTTGACTGCCTAGCGGGCAGGGAACGCATTTTATATGTTTGCTTGACTGCCTAGCGGCAGGGAACGCATTTTATATGTTTGCTTGACTGCCTAGCGGGCAGGGAACGCATTTTATATGTTTGCTTGACTGCCTAGCGGGCAGGGAACGCATTTTATATGTTTGCTTGACTGCCTAGCTGGCAGGGAACGCATTTTATATGTTTGCTTGACTGCCTAGCGGGCAGGGAACGCATTTCAGCCGGTGGGGCTGGGTTTTTATGTTAGCTTGACTGCCTAGCGGGCAGGGAACACATTTCAGCCGGTGGGGCTGGGTTTTTATGTTAGCTTGACTGCCTAGCGGGCAGGGAACGCATTACAGCCGGTGGGGCTGGGTTTTTATGTTAGCTTGACTGCCTAGCGGGCAGGGAATGCATTACAGCCGGAGGGGCTGAGATTTTTGTCTGATTATTGTAGTATTTCCGTTGGTACCAGTGTTTTGCCGGGACCAGCCTGGTGGGTGAAGGCTGGAGATCGTTATATTCTGAATATCTGACACCGGTGGTGTTAACATGTACATGGCCATTTTGCTCTCTATCATTCTGTGGTTTCTGCTTAATTGTTGTTACAGTGTGGGTACCCTTGGTGTGTGTGTGTGTATTGTGTGGTTAGTTCTGGATTCCGGAATTTACGCTCATTTGTATGTTTGTGATTTTTGCAAATGTCTTCTCATTAGCGCAGCCACGTTCATTTTCTCCTTTGTTCTTTATCTCTCCTGTGCCTGTTGCCCAGAGCTGTGTTAGTCACCCACGCTCATTCGCTCCCGTCCGTGACCACCACCCCGGGTGGACGGATCTCCGTGACTAGTCTACGTTTGGGGAAGACGCACGGGGCTCAAGTTCTCGTGGCAGTCGAGCACTGTAGACATTCTTTTTTCCCCTACACTTACTATACTTCTTTGTCTTCCACGTGTGGCACGCTTTGGTTACTCAAATATGGGACAGGAACACGCTAGACCTGCTAAGGGCTTGCTAGCTTGTGACATTGTGAAAAAAAGGGCAGGTGAAGATGCAATGCTAAAACTTAAAAAGATTGCTAAGGTGTGTGGTTTCCAGATGTTGCCCAGCGGGAGATTACAACCTGAGTTTTGGAGGAAGTTACTTATAGACAAGGAAGGGTTGTTGTTGGATAATGGACTCACGAAAGTTGCAGAGGCTTGAAGGATGGGTCGAGGAAGAACTGGAGTTTCAGGGGCATATTGTGTATGTTTATCACAGGAGTGTTCATAATGATGATGTTTCTATTGTTCCACGACCACCGCCCTATGATGGCGCCCGGAGCGCAACACTTAATTCCTGCCCTGCTTCTCCCGTCACGACACAGACCCCACTCTCTGGGGGTGTGTCTTCAGCTCCCACTCCCCTGTGCCCCGTACTCGGTGCGGATGGTGCTTACTATTATCCAGTGCCACTTCACTCGTTCCCTCCTACTCCCATGCCTCAACCTTCCTATGACCCAACCCCCTCCGTTAACCATCCTTCTGTCATGCCTGCCGAAGCCCCTCCGCCTTCATGTCCTTCGCTACCTCTCCCAGTGACCGTCCCCACTCCGGACCTTACCATGGCTTCCCTCACCTCACCCATTGAAGTCCCACCTTCCTCCTCCGCTTCCCTCTCAACCCCGAGTACCCCTTCCCTAGTAACTCCCGTTCCCTCACCCTCTCCGTCTATTACACATCCAACTCCCCTGACCCATACCCTTTCCACCGGCCCTATTCCTCCGGATCTCTGTCTCCCCGCTGACCCAGGACCCCTCCCTCCCACGGCCGATTTGCCGTCCCTAATCTCTGCCCTCACCGTCCTGACCCAACCCCCTGTTACCACCTCTCCATCCCCTTCTCCAGTGTTACCTCCTCCTCCCGAAGTCCCAGCCCCCTCTACCTCGCTACCCCTCCCTCCCACGGCCGATTTGCCGTCCCTAATCTCTGCCCTCACCGCCCTGACCCAACCCCCTGTTACCACCTCTCCATCCCCTTCTCCAGTGTTACCTCCTCTTCCCGAAGTCCCAGCCCCCTCTACCTCATTACCCCTCCCTCCCACGGCCGATTTGCCGTCCCTAATCTCTGCCCTCACCGCCCTGACCCAACCCCCTGTTACCACCTCTCCAACCCCTTCTCCAGTGTTATCTCCTCCTCCCGAAGTCCCAGCCCCCTCTACCTCGTTACCCCTCCCTCCCACGGCCGATTTGCCGTCCCTAATCTCTGCGCTCACCGCCCTGACCCAGCCCCCTGTTACCACCTCTCCTCCAGTGTTACCACCTCCTCCCGAAGTCCCAGCCCCCTCTACCTCGTTATCCCTCCCTCCCACGGCCAATTTGCCGTCCCTAATCTCTGCCCTCACCGCCCTGACCCAGCCCCCTGTTACCACCTCTCCTCCAATGTTACCTTCCCCTCCCGAAGTCCCGGGCCCCTCCACCCCATTGCCTACCCCTCCACCGATTGGTTTGCCGTCCCAACCCTCCACCCAAGTTGCTCTGCCACAGCCCCTTGTTCCTATCCCTCCAACCCCTTCCCCGGCAACCCTTGACGCACCCATGTCCAATGACCTATCTACTTCAATATCCGCCCTTTTCACTGCAGTCACTTCCCTGGTTAACTCCGCGATCCCTACATTGCCTCCCATTGATATACCTCCTCTTCCTCCTCCTCCTCCCCCCGAGCCTTCGACCCCTCCCTTGTCTCCCGCTAATCTCCTCGAGCCTTCCGATCCAATCTCTGCTCTTGCACATGTCCTAAACACCCACCTCTCACGGCCAGCCCCGCCGTCCCCCATGATGGCCCCTTCCACGGCTTTAGTTCCCCGTGCCCCTTCCGCCAGCACCAGCTACCCAATCATGGTGGTTGGGTCCGAGGTGTCTGCGACCTCGGACCAGCCCTATGCGTTGGGTGCCTCCCCCCAAGCCTCGGGTTTCCACCCAATTACCTCTCCTATCACCCCCTTCCCAGTTGCCCCCGCTACAGCTACCCCTGAGGCTATTCTTCACCGTGGTACAATAGTGCCCGAGGAGGTCGTTATGGTGGACCAGAGCCAACCCCCACTGGGGGGGGAAAGGCTTCCCCAACGGCACTCACTTCCCCAGGGGTATACTCAGATCAACCATGGGGCGGATGGCGCACCACCTATGTACGTTACTTTTAACCCTTCCCAAGCCGCTACCCTTGTAACTTCACTCCCTGATCCTGAGAAGCACCCCATGCCCTTTTTCTGCAGGGTGGCTCAGATCCGTAAGACATATTCCGCTGCATGGCGGGACCTTATTAGTTTATGTGAAATTAAGGCCGGAGATGCATACTGGCCAATCATGGAACGGAGCTTTAGTGATGCTCCACTTACTTCTGATACTGATTTCCGTTCTGGTGAAATTTTCTGTGAACAACTTCGTGCCTGGGCGCAGGATAAACTAGCTGACCAGGCTACTTGCATTAATGATATAATCCAGGACAAACTTGAGACCGTTGAAAAGTACCATTCTAGGTTGACTCAGACATTCTCGGACTTAGGGTTCAGTACTTACAACAAGGCACACACCCAGATGCTCTCTGCAGCTTTCGTGGCAGGACTGAGAGAACACATTCGCAAGGGGTTAATTTTAGCTCGCCCTGAGTATAGAATTATTCCACTAGACACTCTTTTGTTAGTAGCCAAGGGCCTAGAATCTGTTTTACAACCCACACAGCGCAGGGCTAGCCCACTGATGTACACGGTCCCCACACCTATCGCTAGTTCTAATCAGGTCCCTCAGGTATTCCCCCAACAGTACACTCAATCACCCCACGCACTGCCTGCACCAATCCCTTTTCCCCGGGACCGGACCATTATGACAATCCGGACCTGTTTTAATTGCAATCAGCCAGGCCACTTCAGAAGAGATTGCCCACAGCCTAGGGTGTTCCGCCAGCCAAGTCCCCGGTACCAAGGTCCCCATGTCACCGGCCATAACTACCCTTCCCCTGGTTACCTCCCCGCCCTTCCCCATCCACATTTGCCTCAGCTTCCTCCTCCTCCTCCTCCTCCCCCTCCTCCTCCTGAATACACTCAAGCACGGCCCCCTGTATCAGAAGCTCGCACGTATACTTCACACTCTGCAGAAGGGTTTGATAATGATGATTTCCAAGACAGCCAACCCCGTCCTACCCTCCGCCCATCCCGCCCTCCCATGCATTCTGCTAACCCCCCTTCTACTTCCCGCCGGTACCAGGGACCAGACCAGGCCCACTTAGATTTATTACAATAGGTAACCGGCAAGCCTGTGTCAGCAACCCCCGCCATGGCAGTGTCTGCGGGGGATGGGGGGGGCCCTCTAGCTACTGTTGTTCTCCCTGTGGAGGGCCACCCCACCACTTTCCTGGTTGACACAGGTGCAGCCCGTAGTGTCCTTAGGGAACAAGACCTGCCTGACCCCTCTTTCTTATCTGACACTGATGTTTCCTGTGTTGGGGTGGATGGTACCCCACGCAGCAACCCCCTTACTAAGCTCCTACATGTAGGTTCACACATCCTCTCGCGCTTTGTGGTTTCCTCTACTTGCCCCATTAACCTCCTAGGTGCCGATGTTCTCTCTCGCCTCCAGGCCTCCATTACCTTCACTGCAGATGGGCAGATTGAGTTGACAACTCCCTTATCACAAAAAGATACCTCTGTCCTCTGTTCCCTCCCTATTTTGTTAAACCTAACTGACAACTCAGGGGATGCACGGGTCCCACAAACCCCCAGTGCTCTGGACCGTATCCCACCTGATCTTTGGTCCACCGGCCCGGATGATATTGGACGTTTGCATGTGCCCCCGGTCTTGGTTCAGCTCCTGCCCGGGGCACAGCCTCCTCGCAGACCTCAATACCCTCTAAAGCCTGCACAAGCTGAAGCCATTACCAGACAAGTTGAAAGTCTCCTTACCAAAGGTGCCCTCATCAAGTGTTCGTCTCCATGCAATACTCCACTTTTTCCTGTTAAAAAGAGAACTGTTAAAGGTCAACCTGACCAATATCGTATGGTACAAGATCTCCGTGCTGTGAATGATGTGACCATCAAAGACACTGCCATTGTTCCTAAACCCCACACCCTCTTATCCCAAGTCCCATCAACTTCAACAATATTCACTGTGGTGGATCTAGCTAATGCCTTCTTCAGTGTCCCCCTTGACCCTTCATGTCGTTTCCTCTTTGCCTTCACCCATGAAGGACAGCAATACACCTGGACTGTCATGCCTCAGGGGGCTCAGAATTCCCCCACACAATTTGCACACGCCATGTCACTGGTGTTGGAACCCTGGCAACAATCTCATTTGGATGTCGTCCTGCTTCAATATGTTGATGATCTCCTTCTCTGTGCTCCTGATTTACTCACTGCGGAGCGTGATTCAGAAGACCTCCTATGTTTTCTTGCTGCTGCTGGTTGCAAAGCCTCCAAATCCAAGTTGCAATGGTGCCGGCCCTCTGTGGTCTTCTTGGGACACTGCCTTTCCCATGGCACCAAACATCTCACCTCCCAACGTGTACAAGCCATTCTGCTTCTTCCATTACCTGCTAACCACCAGGCTCTCCATGCTTTCCTGGGTCTAATCACGTACTGCAGGTCCTGGATACCCGAAGCATCAAAACTCATGCAGCCACTCTATGATGCCCTCAGGAGCGAACCTTTCCATCTCACAGAAGAAACTATCATCTGTTTCCGCACTCTGAAAAGAGCTATTGCTTCTGCACCTGCCTTGGGCCTACCAAACTACCAACTTCCCTTCAACCTTTTTGTCTCTGAAAAATCAGGACATGCTTCCGGAGTCCTCACCCAAAAACATGGCTCAAGACAACGCCCTATTGGCTATTTTTCCTGCATGCTTGACCCTGTTGCAAGGGGTAGCCCCTCTTGCCTCCGAGCGGTGTTTGCCGCCAGTGCTCTCCTGGACAAGACCAATGACTTTGTTCTTGGCCATCACCTCACAGTGTTGGCCCCTCACGATATTACTGCAATCTTACAGCAAATCCGCCCAAAACACCTTTCTTC